TGTTGACTGTTGAGCCGAAAGTGGACATTCAACGCATCGATTTGACCGCATTGTCCGCCAATAAGATTAAACTCATAGTGAAGTGCATTAACCGGAGGGGACACCTGTTGTTGGCCTCTAATAACGATGTGTTTTGTATGATACGAGTGCCACACGAGCAACAGATCTACCAACTCATGAGTGAACATCACTTCGAGTTAGCCCTACAGGTGGCCAATATGTGGACAGAAGAAACGGGCGACGATGTGGTCGCCGGCGGCGAAGACAACGCCTCCGAATCCACCAAAAAGGAGCAAATGATGCTTAAGATCAAGAATATGCACGCATTCGACCTCTTCTGCAAAAAGCAATACAAGGAAGCGTTGGTATTGTTCCTGAAGCTCGAGACGGATCCGTCGCAAGTGATCGGTTTGTTTCCCGATCTGTTGCCCGAAGACTTTAGAAATAAACTCGAATACCCGTCGAAACCGCCGCAACTGCTCGGCGCCGATCTCGAGACCGGCCTCTTCTGTCTCATAGACTATCTGCTAGAAGTTCGCCGCAATTTGGCCAACGCTGCCGCCGCTGCCAACGGTCAGAGCGGCGCAACTATTAGCTCATCAACGTCTTCGGCCAGCATCGGTGGCAACAGCGCCGCAGAGACCGACAGCCCGTCGACCGCCGCCGCCTCAGCCAAAGCCAAGTATCAGCTGAAGAGCATAATCGATACGACACTCTTGAAGTGTTACCTCCAGACCAACGACGCGTTAGTGGCGCCACTGCTCCGACTGCCAGACAACAAGTGTCACTTGGAAGAGGTGGAGAAGGCTCTCAAAAAGCACCACAAATACAATGAGCTGATCATTCTCTACCAGAACAAAGGCCTGCATAAGAACGCACTCGACCTCCTGCACAAACAGTCCCGCAAAAAGGACTCACCGCTGGCCGGCTATAAGCGAACCGTACAGTACTTACAACACTTGAACGCCGAACACTTGGACCTGATATTCGAGTACTCGGAATGGGTGCTCAAAAATCATCCCGAAGACGGTATCAAGATATTCACCGACGACGCGGTGGTCGATATGGAACTGTTGCCCCGCGAAGAGGTGGTGGCGTTCCTGCAGCGGATCAACGATGACCTACTCATACCATACTTAGAGCACCTGATCTTCGTGTGGAACGACACCACACCTGCCTTTCACAACACTTTGATCCATAAGTACAGGGAAAGGGTTCGCATGTTGTTGACGGACCACAAGAATAGTGTGGCCGCCGGCGAGACAGAGCCCGTGGGCGCCGGCGAAGAGCCGGGAGAGTTGGGTGAACTGAGACAGAATTTGTTAAAGTTTTTGGACGATTCCGACCACTACTCGACCGAAACGCTGCCGACGTATCTGTTAAACGACGGCCTCTTCGAGGAGCGCGCGGTTGTGATGGGAAAGATCGGTAACCATAAGGAGGCGCTCGTCATATACGTCCATATGCTTCACGACACACAACGCGCCGAACAGTACTGTCAACGCATGTATGACAAGGGATTGCCAGAGAATAAAGACGTGAGATAATCTGGTTTTTTACTTTTTTATGTATCAATGTTTTCGCAGGCGATCTCTCTCTCTCTCTCTCTCTCTCTCTCTCTCTATTTTGTTAAAATAATAGTTTGAAGTGAACTAAACACTTGCATTCAATTGTAGATTAAAACTTGTATAGAATTGGTTTCATATTCTTAATAATGTTTCGTTCATTTGTTTTTCATATTTAATAAATCTGTTCATTAATATCAAGAGTTAAGAAACAATTTTATATTTGAACTCAATTCTAATCTCTAATTTCTTATGTAATTTTGTGTTTAAAATATGATTTTATAATTTTGATATAATCTAACATATTGTAAAGTAATATTAATTTCCAGTTTATTCCACATTAGATTAATGTATAATCTAATGAATATTTTTAACCACAATTCAGATATGAATATGGTTTATAGGATCGTTCATGGCATAGGGATAACATGGGTAATGCTAAGTCTATGGCATAGGAATAACATGTGTAATGCTAAGTCTATGGCATAGGGATAACATGGGTAATGCTAAGTCTACAGGAGAAATGTTATTCAATGGGATAATGCTTTTTCTATGAAGATATACTAAATGAATCTGACATAATAAATAAAACTAATTCTTGTAAAAAACATTCAACATTCTTAAAATAATAATAGTGAGAGTATTCTAACAATAGTATTGAAAAATTTAAAATCTTTTAATGCATTTCCCGAATTGTGGTTAACGTATAGCATCGTTGTGTGATACTTGTTTTTGCTATAATATATTAATATTAAATCATAATATACATGTATGTAGATTAAAAACTTTTAAATCGAAATGTATTTAAGGATTAATTTAATTATCATTTCACATGACAAATACTCTCATAGGGAAGGGTGTCATCCATATCATCGCCATCTGATCCCAAGAACTACTCACCCGAAGACAAACATCTATATAAAAGCAAAACCATTGGATCCGTTGTGACCGCAAACACCACAACTCGAAGACATGCTTTTGTGGCGGATATCGGCCTTAAAAGCCGTCTCTATTATTCGAAACTGTGTCCAGAAGTGCGGCCGAAGACAACACTCAAGTGGTAACGACCAGAAATATTCGCGACAAATACAGGAATTGATAAAAGCGAAGCTACGAGAGGATAAAATACGTGAAATGGACAAACGGGAGAACAGCATTAAGATATACGTGACACTCGACGGGCCATTATTTCAGTCACTCAAAAATTTCAGTTACGGACAATACGTGTTTTGGTTTCTTATGGCCGCATTGGGTGAACACCTGTGGGCTCACAAACCATGGCTACTGATATTCCCATTCTTTATCAGCATCGCTACACAATTAGCAATAAAAGTGTTTTTCAGACGAACCTTATATGCGGTCAATTTGCTTCCGGCCCGACAAACACTAGATTTAATTGCTGTGGGACTCAAGGGTTTCGGTGACATTAAACGGATCAACGCTTTCGAGGTTGCCGTCGCTCACGTGTCCGCCCAATACCGAACCCGACGCGGAGTTTATTACCTCAAAGTGAAGGGCAAATGGTTTAACAGCTACTATAGACTCAACGCATCCAAAGGCATCATTTTTCGCGACGATCTCTTCGCACAGACGGTCGGCACGTTTCGCAAGTTTTAATGGTTTCAATAATCGTTTGTTTTAATCACTTTTTAAAATCTTTATTGTATTGAATATACTGTATATTCATTCATAGAATTTTCATTTCATTTTCACCGCGTTTTATATCGAAAAATAGTTACATGTATAAACTACACAATTAATAAGTTTCAATAATAATTGTAATCATATATTTATTTTTAATTAAAAATAATGTTTTGTTCATTACTTTCGATATCTAATAAATCAATTGTCAAAACCAAATAATATTTAATTGTCTGTTAATTAATCGCAAAAATAAGACAAAACAAAATTGATTTTATTATTATTTAAAACTTTCAATTCTTATCTATAAACTGTAATTTTGTTTAAAATATGATTTTATAAATCATTAAAAATTCATTACAAAATAAAAAGCATTACATTTTTATTTCAAACAACGAAAACCCTATAAACGTATAATTGATTGAAAAAACACATAACAGAAAATTCAATGAATTTAAACGAAATGAGACATTGATTTAGTCGTCAATACAAACAGTCCTTTACTGAGAGACAGAGAAAAAACATATTTATAGCAAAAAACAAGATTTAATAAACAGAATATTCTGTAAAAAATCATAATATATTATGCAATGAGTTGTGGCCGCCAAACGGCTGCATAAGAAATAAACGTATGTTTGGTTTACAATCAATATTATGGTCTCTCAATAGTATTAGTAAATTATATAATTATATTATATTATTATAACAAACAATTAAAATAAACTCTTTGTTATGTATTTTGTTAATATTTTTGTTGATTTGTTTGTATAATGTATTGATTGGCACAACAAACAGGTTAGTAGTCAATGGTTTGCGTTAATGATAGCGCAGTAGAGATAGAGTAGAGGTCTTGAGGGCTGTCGGCGGCGGATGAGGAGGAATGGGAGGACTGGACAGACGGGTAGACAGACATCACTGTTATGTCATGTAATATGCGGTGTAAACACTGAGATTCACATCAAAATTCATGTTAAAAACAATTAAAGTTAAAGAAAAACATTAATTACACGATTCTATAGCAATGGTAATAATAACTATAATTATACTTAAATATAATTAATGTAATTAATAGTAATGTTTATAATAATAGTAACGTATAAATCATATCATTTGCATAGTATTCACAAAAATATAGCTAATTATTTAACACAATATCGTTTTTACGCTATATTTTTGCCACTTTTGAATTTTTTCAATGTTTTAACGATTTTTTAAAACTTTTTTTCACATGTTTTACAACTACTTATTTTTGTTTATATATAAAACACAATTAAAATTTCCAAAAATAATTAGAATAACTAATAATTATTACTTTTTGTTTTGTTTTCTTCTATACAATCAAACAAAATGATAGATCGATGAGTAAAATATTGGTATTGTTTTCAATAGATTGTACTGTAATTTGTTTTTTCATCAATGAGTGAGAATTGTTATGCAATTTATTGCTCTCCATCTCTCTATACCTGGCTTTCAATCTCACGCATAGTCTATACGACGCCTCCCTTATGGGAGCCAAAGGGGGCGGCGGTGGATACCCATCCACTTCTGCCCCTTTAAAATTTCTAATGTATATCAATATATTATATTATTTATAGATTTATATATATTTATATATAATTTACATAAAAAACAAATAGTATTTTTTCAAATATATAATTAATAACAAAATTGTCGTTCATTTGCATAACAGCGCGAAAAATATGAAAAAACACATTTAAAAAACATGTTTTCTCCGAAAATTCAATTGAGTTCTGAATTTTTGTCGCCATTTTTAGTGAAGATTCTACTCTTTTCTCAATTTTTTCAAAATGATTGGCCTTTCGATCGTCGGCTTTGGGCCGCCGGCGAGCGCAGTCGTGGGCGCAGCCACTGGTCGCGCGGCCGGAGGCTTATTACTGGCCGCTAAGTTCAACAACGCTTCGGCGCCTCTCATGCCCTCGTCGTTGGAGTCTTCATCGGTCACCGACACCACCGCCGACGCACTCCTCAGCCCTTCTTTACACTCCCTTTTGACGGCACTCTCAACGCGCGAGAGCTTACGTTTGGTGGCCGTTGTTGTGGTCGTGATCGTAGTGGCCGTCCTTTGGTGCGGTTCCGTCACGTGTATCACGTGATAGACTTGGGTCTGAGAGGGTAACTGTTCCGCCAATGACGTGGAGTTGCGTTGATAGTAATTATGATCACTGGTTGGACTCACTGTTACGGTCACTACCGAGGAGTCAAGATCGTCGACGTACGAGTCGGGCAGCACTTGTTCGCACTCACTGTACCATAAAAATAGATAATAATTGTTATTAAAATATGAGTTCAAATCATAAGACAATTGATGTCTTCATACATGTCTTCAGTGGCATCGGTTTTGATGGTGTTGTTAGCGTTGCACTGAAGGGTTAGCATAGAGACCGCGGCATCAGTTTCTTTCTCTACAAAATCCAAAGCAAATTAAACAAAAATGTAATTAATTTATGTCTCAAACAATGGTTAATCACTTTCTGCACACCTTTTTTGATAATCTTTGTGATGGGAATCAATAGCCTTCTGGACAAAAATGGGAACAAATTAGGCGAAGGAATATTGACCACCGATTGGACGCGCTCTGCGGACAGCGCTTTCTTCATCCTTTGCGCACAAAACAAAAGCAACAAAACTAATCAATAAAACTATTTCCAAAATAACAAAGTTTTGAACAAAAAGCACTCACTGTTGGGAAGAGTTATTGCTATTACTGGACAGTTGTATGCGCGGCGGCGACACCACGACATTGGTCTTCGCCAAAGACATGTATGGGTAGATGTGTGCGGGCGTCCGGCGCACCGCTTGCAATAGGTTTGGCCTGAGGTCCGGATCCACACACCAGAGACTCCCTTTGCCGACAATCTGTACACAGAATCCATACGATTAGCATAAGAATCGCACAAATAATTGAATGTCAACTCGCATTAAAAATTAATGAGACAACAGAATCGCTACAATTGTTCACAGAATCGCACAGAATTTCTTATATATCGTGTGTATGGGAGGGGAATGGGATGCGAATGGAATGGGAGGTAAGGGATTGTCACGAAAGGCGTGAAAAGCAATGCATTTGTGCGCTGAGAGGGAAAAAGAAGCAGAGAAAAGGATGGGAAGGGAAGCGAGAAAATTATATACAAAAATAATAATAACGTTAAGAAAAATAAGCAAAAATATTCTCGCATATAATGCGTGAGAAACTATGTGAGAATATACACAGAATATGGTTATATATACTGTAAATGTGACTATATATGAAAGCTGACAACTTTCTCATAGCAGAGCCACTGAGCACTACTTGGCATTAGAATAATACGATATAACAGTAATTGGGTTTCTATGGCGACCCCATATGTATGGATTGACCGAAAACGGTGGGTCCATAGCAACGGGTGCACAAGCGTTACAGACAACTGAATGCCAGGCGCTAATCAATCGGACAGTTAGGTTAGACAGACATACTGTATACACAGTATATAGACATTATGCGAGAGAAACAGTGGATAATCATTGAACCGTCAAATTTGGTGATAATATCTCATGGAATACTAACCGGTATTAACTCGTCGGTCGCTTTGTCCAGTTTGCGAAAGCACTTATTCAGACTTAGATTGTGTCGAACCGTATTCTTCCAACCTATCCATACATAGCACAGACAATGGCAGAGAAAATGAGAGCAAAAAACAAAAATCATTATTAGAGTTAAGTGTTTCGTAACTATAAAAAACAAAACACAGTAAAAGTCACAACAAAACAAATGAGAAAAAACTTTTTTCCATTTCAATAAATTTGTGTTGCAATGAAAAACTTAAGACCCGAGCGGACAGACAGACACACATACCTGAGGGCGCCGTCTGATAGTAGGGGTAGTGTTCGGTAATCCATTGGTAGATATCTTTAACGGGAAGTGCTTTATTAGGTGAGGACTCGATGGCCATGATACCCGAGCGGACAGACAGACACACATACCTGAGGGCGCCGTCTGATAGTAGGGGTAGTGTTCGGTAATCCATTGGTAGATATCTTTAACGGGAAGTGCTTTATTAGGTGAGGACTCGATGGCCATGAAGATGAGCGAACTGAACGAATAGGGAGGTTTGGCGTTACGGTGCAGATGCGGGTTATACGTGACCGGCGGTACACTCGTAATGTTCTTGTGGCCAACGGTTAGGCCAACACCTGCCGCACCGCCGACACCACCGCCAGTCACGGCTTCCTCGGCGTCGTTGGCTGCGGTCTCATCGTCTTCCTCGTCGTCGTCGTCCACGTCTGGCGGCGGCGATACGTTCTCATTGTCTTCGGCCATATCTCGAAGAGTGGTGTCCGTCTGAGTGCACACCATGTTCTGCAGGAGATTGCGGTCCTGAAGCCACGTTAGGTTCGTCAGGTCGTTGTCGTCGGCCGCCGTGGAGGACGACGAAGAGGTGGGAGAGTGGCCGCCGGGCCCGCCGTCGTCGCACAGGTCGTGGTCGGCATCGGGCGCACCGGCCGTTGATAACACGTTCATCGTTGGACTCGATTTCATATAACTATTTGATTGATTGATAAGAAAGAGAGAGAAATGAGATTTTCTGTTAAACACAAAAATTGTTCATAAAATAAAACTTTTTTCACATTAAGTTTTTTGTTTCGTAACTAATAATAAAAAACTAATCATAAAAAGCAAAACTACCAGTGAATATGGTAACAGCAAAACGTCTTAAAACAACAAACAATAGTGCGAGTGATAACTAATGGTAACTAACAGTCCTGGGTATTCGCCAATACGGGCTGATTGGTAGGTATGGCATACATACAGAATATATACACACCGTATATAAAACACAGTATTATTATAATATATATAATGTTTGTATATGTGGTATAATATACGGTATCTATCATACAATAGTGGTGTCTATGTCTAAGTTTTTTATATAATAATAATTTGTATTTAATGTGCGGTTTGTGTTGAAGTTAGCGGACGGTTGTGTGTGTTTGGGTCGGCGATGGCAACAGCGCTCTTATGGTAACAGTTGCTCCTCTGGTAGTAGTGGTCGTTGCAGTCGCTGTCAAAATCACATTTCATAACAATAATAAACATCACATCACTGTATAAGACAATTGTGCCCTTAAAACCAATTGCCTCTTATGTGTTACCAGTAGTTATCGTTACCCACCATTGCCTTTGCCATCACCAACACAACCACACGTTACCACGGGTTACCCTAAGAGTCTCATCTCTCTCTACAGCTCTCTCTCCCTCCCTCATACTCTCCTGTGCTCTCTCCCTCTCCTATTAACCACTCATTAACTTCTCGCTGAATCAGAAACACTGGAAGTTATATATAATTCAATCGATTAGTTATAATTTCAACGATAGTTATATTCTTCAATGTCTGTGACTGGCGGTAGTGATTGTCTCCTCTCATTCTTACAATCGCTTCCATTCAAGTGCTTATTAATCATTGAATTGATCCCAATTGAAGACAACATTCAGACACACAATTCATAGTCAACTCAATTAAAAGCATTCAATATTTTGAGATCAATTGGCAATCAATACCTAACATTAGAGAGCGTTTTGATTGGGATTTCATATGCGATATCTCTTTGACATAAAACAAGAAAAATTATAATTAATTTTTGCGATAATTTTGGTGGCGATAAGAGACGGACCAAAACAACACTCTATTCATGTGTTTATGTAAACAATGAGATAATCGGCTGATAACAAGAGGTGGTGTCCGCGAGAAGACACACAACGGGGGAGACATAGAGACAGACAGGTCTGGGCAGAGGAGGGGGTGTTTGGGGCGGATAATGGCCACCATTGGTGCTCTCATAGCATTAACTCAGGCATACATTCTTCGACAGCAATTGATCACAGCTTTAAGACACACACAAATGGTGTCGTAATCACTGGTGAGGGCATGGGATCAGATGTGCAAAAGAGAGCTATACATACACTGGTCAGCGATGGTTAGCAGACATATACAGTGCTGGCGAATACGTGCGGATGTGTGGGAAGCGATTGGCAGATAATATCACCGGCGAAGAAGAAGTGGATGACTGATGATAATGGTGTGCAGCGGATGTGTTGTGCGGATCAATGGCTGCCACAGCGATCACCATCACTGGATCCCCACCACAACAACAATCGTCAGCATCGATGGTAAGGGCGCACAGAAAGGGAGACCCACTCACAGACACTGAGACACAATCACGTACAGAGAGCGACAGACACACGGATCAAGTGGTGGTGATAATCAGCTGACATAAGCAGTGAACTAATGGTTGTTTTGGTTTGTCTTAAAGCAATGCCCAGCAGTTGTGCTGCAGTTATGCTGTTATGCTTTTCACATCATTAAATGCGGGCCAATACACAAACCAAGTGTTCAATCGCCCCCTAATCGCCCCCTTTTATGTAATAGCCATACGCTTAACACAAACGCCGTCGTTATGTCAGCACTTAGTCTATGAATGGCTCTCGTATTTCTGTGCCTTTTACACCAGTAGTTGTCGCCACCTATGAGTGATGTAATTGATTATACAATAAACTCCCGTTAATAACCTAACCTAACTTGACTGGGCTTCGGTATGGGATTGAATAAGGTTGTTTTATGATGTATTTTATTTTAACATTGATTTTCTGATTATGTTTACATTAAATGTGAATTCATTATTTTATTATAAATTCAATTTAATGTAAAAGAGAGTTATTGCATGGAAAAAGTTTTTTAAAATTAAAAATTATTGAGAATTAAACCATTATGATTAAACCATAGTTATACAAAATAGATATATTAATACCTTTATGAATATTTAAAGACGCAGATTATTTAAAACATTATTTATCGCAAAAATTGTAATTAATTAAGTTCGGGGTAATTAAAAAAGTGAATTTAGCAGAGCGTGGTTTCGATCCACGGACCTCTGGGTTATGGGCCCAGCACGCTTCCACTGCGCCACTCTGCTTTGCATAATGCACTTTATTATAACCAACATGAACATGGTCAGTTGACAAATTATAACAAAGTTAAAACAATAATATTATTTAATTATTAATATATTATATGACCAGAAATTAAAGATTACTTGTAATCATAAACATGATATCTTATACCTTATAACTGTATATTTGGCCGATTCTGTGAAATAATCAATATTTTTAATTAAATAAATGAGTCAATTATTTTAGTTAAAATTTAATTTATTAACAAAATTCATATTTAAATGTTTTTATTTGTTTTATATTCCATTGGAAACACTTTATAAACTTTCTGTTTATTATTAATTATAACAAAAACAATTACTTTATCGCAGAATATTCTGTGGTTAGAAATCTATGAGAAAATTTTGAATTTAAAATATTATTTACTTATTAATTATTTATCGATAAACTAACGGTTTGATTGATAAATATTACATTTAATTACTTTAAATACATTTTCTAACAATAATTTAACTTTGTTTATAAACTTTGTTTCAATCACTCGTCAATGGCTTTGTAGGAAAACAATTCATTTTAGTAAAAATTTAATTTAATAACAAAATTCTTGATTACATATGAATTTTTAACCCAAGCAATGATTTCAATGATGAGATGAATGAATATAAGTATGAAACGTAACATAAACTAAATAATTTTGGGAAAAACATAAACCATATATACATTTGCACTCAAAATAGATGGGGAAATGGGTTGCGATGGACAGGGAGTCGGTTTGGGAGGTGAGTCCGAGTCGGCAACAGTTAGATCTCTGTGTCTTCGTTAGCGCTATTGGAATGACTGCTCACAACATAGCTTTGATTCTCACAACTATAGACAAGTGGGGCGTCGGTAGCGCACAGTGGGGTACAGCCGGTGCCGCCACTGCCGGCAATCGCAGCCGCTTTGGCCGAACAGCAGAGGGAACACGATTTGCCGCCCGACGACGACGTGCAGACAGTGCCGGTGCCCGTCGTTTTGGTTGTCCACCGCAAGAGCTGTGAATCGTAATCGATAACACTTTTCTCGCCAGAACTGCTGTCCCGCTGTATGCAAGCCGAGCACATCTTAAGCTTACAGGTGCTGGACGTGTGTTTCAGTGCCGCACACGTCAGACAACACCGGGTGGTGGACGACGTGGACGACTGTTTGCCGCTGCCGTCCTTCTGGAGCACTCGGGCCAGGATTTCCCTCTGCTCTACACTCGGCAAACGGTTCAGTTTGG